AAATTTTGGTCAATGACATGAGACAAAGTATATGTGAACTGCTGTATGAAAAGTGAATTTACTCTGTAAATCTTCACCGAAATCAAAATAAAATTTAAAAAAAAAGAAAAAGAAAGAAAAGGGGATCTTACTGCCATCAAGAGAGAAGAGCTGGAGGTGGAATGAAGTACATCCTTGGACCTGAGATCCCTGCACTGGACCTCCTTGGTAGAGACGACCAGCAGAGACAACTGGCAGATGAACCAAGAGGGACAAGACAGAGCACTGGGCTTGCTGGCCCACAGAGCTAGAAAGCTGAGTACCTTTGAGTAGGCTTGCTGGTGGAATGGAGTATACCTAAGGGCAGAGGTAAAGGAGCTTTGTAACACTTGCCAGAACAGGGCAGAGGCCAGGCCAAGAGGCCAAAGGCCAGAGAGGTGGGCCTGAGGGCATGGCACAGGGGAAACTGTCCTGATGGAAAAATTGTATCCTGAGCATGTTCTTGAACCTAAACTTTAACCTATTACTTCCCTAATAAACCCCATAATCCTGAGTATTGTCTGTGAGTTCTCTGTGGCCATTGCAACGAATTATCGAACCCAGCAGAGAAGTCGTGAGTGCCTTATAAAGGACAGTTTTTGTCAGACTTGGTCAAAAGGCTGGAGAGTGGTGCATATCTGACCTCATAGGAATAAGCCTTGGGCTGTTGATGGTGACCCTGTTTCCCCCTTCTGAGATGAGAGGAAGTGAGAGGATGCCATCACCATGTGCTTTTTGCACCTTCACTTTTATCAAATACTGAAGCCAGGAGGTTAATTAACTGAGGCCACACAGCTACTTAAACAGCAGAAGGGCAAGAGGAAAAACTCAGGTCCATCTGACTCAACTCCTGTGCTCTTCTTTTAAATGTTTTAAATAATTTGAAAACAATAAATACTATTTTTTTTTAATCCATAATAGGCTTGATAACATTTCTAGTTTTTGAAGTAGAAAATCGAAGTTTTACAGAAAGTGCCAATAGGTAAGGAATACATAAACCTTAATGAAATTTAAGTTTTAATCCACCTTTTGACACCATGAGGCCTTCCCCTGTTTCTAGTTCATATTGCTTACTAATCATTTCCCTACCTAAGACACACTTAACTTAGCTTTGGGGAGGCTTTTTTCTTTTGAGGAATACATTAGCAAAATTTTGTTTCTTTGCTCTTCTGTCAACTTCTGAAAATGTTCACATTTCTTAAATAGATGAACCTGAGTCCAGGGCTGCATCTGCAGTTAACAAAATGTGTGAAAGTAATGCAATCAGAGGGAAATTCAGAACCACAAAAGTTACTGACTGACATTGTGTTGTTCATAGAAGAAGAGTTTTTGGAGAAGGACTTTTGTTTTCCTGCTAAAATCATGATGGAGATAGAAGAACAGGAACAAACATGGAGGAAGAACTTTTACTTGGAATTACCAAAAGTGGTGAGAATTCAGCTACAGAATTCTTGAGTGGTTGCTAATTATAATGACTTCTATTTCTTTCTTTTTATGGAAAAGTCAGTTATAGAATTTGTTCTTTGTAGGCTTTTAAGCCTTTTTAATTTTTTATAATTTAGAGTAAAAACTTTAAATCTAGAATAAAAACTTTAAATTCAGAAGAAGAACTTGAAAAGTTATGTAACTATATCTAATAGGCACCTTGCCTAGTATAGACTACAGACATCATATCTGGTATGAATCAAGTGGATATCTGATAAATACTTACTTGTTATATTCTCTTAGGAACTTCATGCCCACTTGAATGGATCCATTAGTTCTAAAACCATGAGGAAATTAATAGCCAAGAAGCCAGATCTTAAAATCCACGAGTGGATGACTATGATTGACAAGGGAAAGAAGAGAACTTTAGAAGAGTGAGTTTTTTTTTTTTTATCAGTATTTTGAGATTATTGTTGTTGTTGTTGTTATGTGCCGTCGAGTCAGCCCTGACTCATAGCGACCCCTCCTTGGGTTTCCGAGGCAGTATCACTACGGAAGTAGGATTGCCCAACCTTCCTTCCGAGGAGTGGCTGGTGGGTTTGAACCGCCAGTCTTCTGGTTAGCAGTCAAGTGCCTTAGCCACTATGCTACCAGAGCTCCCTTGAGATTATTAGTAGTATGAAAATATTCAGATTTTAGTTGTTAAGGGAATAGGTAGGCTTCTGGTAAAGAGACTCTAATTTGACATACAGCACTTTTTCCGGTTGTCAGACTTGTAGTATTTTTAGTGATTCATGTTGTTTATGAAGTTATAATGGAATAATTTTTAGACTAGAAAATAATAGAATTTTCCCCTTATTTCCTGCAGCTAGTAGAGAGTGGGAAAGGGGAACTGTTATTTCCCACTTAAATATGTCCCTAACATTTTATTTTAAGTCATTTGATTATCTTCAGTATAGTTTTTGAGAAACCTATTCAGTAGTTCTTTAAAAACATATAGCTACATTTAAGCTAAAAGCTATGAATTAATTCAGCATAGTGAATTTCTCTTGTGTGATATTTGATTATTAGTCTATGTTTAAAGTTTTCATTAATGTTGCAGATGTTTCCAGATGTTTCAACTTATTCATCAGCTTACTTCTAGTCCTGAAGATATTCTAATGGTAAGACCTAAAGGAATTTTTGGACTGGTTTAAAATTAATTTATGCCCTTCTGTTGTTGAACATGATCTTTTGCTTTTGTCAAGAGCCTGCTGAAAAACATTTTCTGCTTTTTTATGACAACGCTTCTCTAAACCAGTGCAAGATTTTGCCTGTGAACCAATGAGAAAACTATATTTATTATGAAAGACATGAGAAAATAACCAAGAGCAATATCTGTTAAATAGAAGACGATTTGGAAGAGAAAGTTCAGTCCTGTTTTTCAACGTATAACATGTTGTATGAAATATTTGACCACATGTGGGAGTATCTTTGATAAGGGTTTATCTGTATTGCATAGAAGATTTTTAACTGCCTGGGTAGACATTATAGAGAATGAATAAGTTCAAGAAGTGCTTAGAGATCAAGTGATTAATCTCTAACAAATTGATACAGAGAAATTATGCCTTTCCTCTGGTGATGAAAGCCTACAGGGTGGCACTCTGTTCTTTTCTCCAAAGTTCCATGATACTAGAATCTGATGCTTCAGACTGGCCTCTGTATCATTGATCTGACTGAGATGTCATTTTTAAATGGAGAGAAGCAAAATCTTACCAGTGTTCTTAGCCATTAGGAAAAATTGCAAAGCAAGAGGTATAACCTGAGTTTACAGAGAACTAACTTTTAACTGGTCAAGAAAGAATTTTCCTCCTTGGCTGAGACTAATCCTCATAAATCATGAGTAAATGACTCACCTTTTTTGAAAAGATTTAACTTTAGTACAACAAAAGTTGACGTGAGTGCCCACAGTGTTCCAGGCACTGGGCTAAAGACTAGGAGATATAAAGATAGATCAGTATAGTTCCTGCCCCTGAGGAATTTATAGTCAGGTTGGAGAGACAGGCCCATAAGCAGAAAAATCCAACATAACATAGTTAAGTTCTGTGTTAGAGACAACCACAGGGATTTATAAGAACCTAAAGGAATATTCTCTAATCAGCCACTGAACAGTTACTATTAAATACTACTAGGAATGTTCATGAACACAGAGGCTATGGTCTCGTTTTTGTTGTTTTGCCAAACTAATGAAACTTCATGTTCTGAGAGCTTAATGCTCCATGAGTGAGTATAATAATGCATGCTCATTATTTAATTCCTTTAGAAGTTGGTGAAAAGCTTTATTAAAATTAGTCACAGAATTAAGATTCTCTGCTTAGTGTTACTGGGCTGAGCCCCTGTAGGTGAGTGACAAAAACAACAAAACCAAACCCACTGCCATCGATTTGATTCTGACTCATAGTGACCCCCATTGGGTTTCCGAGGCAGTAAATCTTTATGGAAGTAGATTGCCCAGTCTTGCTTCCGAACAGTGACTGGTAGGTTTGAACCACCAACCTTGTGGTTAGCAGTCAGATGCCTTAGGCACTATGCTCAGTGAATAACAGTGAGAGTTAAGTTAGTTAAGTCCACATATGAACCATCTGTGGAAGTAAACCAAGAGATTGTTGTAAACATGGGACTGAGTGTATAGGGATCACTCAGAACTTCAGACCAGATGACCTGGCTGTAATCTCAAAGACAGGATTGGATTGTAACTAAAACAGTAAGTTTCTCAACCTGCCCAGTTGAGGCCAGACTTTAGATTGCAACAAATTCACCAAGGTAGTGCCATCTCATTGCACACTGTCTGCACATTCAGCTAGCCTTTGTTTCTTTGCCAGGAAACTGCCCTTGCACTTCAGGTTAAAATTAGGATACCAGTAGTAAGGACTAACTAGGGCAGGTTGTCACAGCATTCCCAACCTGGTATTTTCGTAGATTTGGTCTATTTTAGGGTTGATGGCAGAAAAGAAGACATTCCTTTAGCTTTTAAATTTTGTTTACCTGGCTATTCAGTGATTTTTGATTTGTCAAAATTTCTACTAAATTGGAGATAATTTTTCACATATTTATCACCTAACTTCTGTGTCTAAGAAGAATTTTCCTAAGTATTTTGGGAAAATTTAACCCTGCCTGAAGAATTTATTGACAAATACAACTTATTCCTAAATAACTTGAATAAGAGCCTTTAGCCATGAAACGGTGTGTCAGTAATGCCTAATCATTTTAGCTGTCTATTTCCTTGTGTATCCTTTTTTAGCACCACAGACACATACATGCTTTTAACTCATTTGAGTTTTACCTCATTTCATTGCTATTATGAACACTAGGAAATAGAGAAATGGTTAAAAGGAGGAAATGGAAACAAAAGATGTGGATGATGTGCAGATTTGCATTTAATGTGGGAACGAGTTGGGTAATGGGAGCTATTGGAAATGCTGCAGCTCAGTCTTCGTCTCCACCAAAGAGGTGACAGCAGGTAATTTCTACCATGTGGGAGATTTCTAGCAGTACTTACAGATCATATTTAATGAGTGCAATAAAGCTGTAACATTTGTCACTTTGAGAGTCTTACATTAACGTCAGTATTTTGTATATTATCTTTATTATCAGATTACAAAAGATGTTATTAAAGAATTTGCAGATGATGGTGTCAAGTACCTGGAACTAAGGAGCACACCCAGAAGAGAAAATGCCACTGGTAGAATTTAATTACTTCTTAGTGAATGCATTATCCCTTCCCATATGCTTTGATTATTCATGTGTGTGCAAGTTGGGAGAATGAAACACTCTGTTTTCATGGGCACCTTAGAGTCAACAGTCCAAATTGTCATTTTTCCTGGGAACAGATGTCTATTAAGGAATGACTTGTGCTTAATTTAAAAAGTAGAAAATCAGAACAGGCATATCTGTTAAAGAGGGGCAAAATGGCCTGAAAAAATTTATTTTGTTCTTCCTTGTTTGTTTTATTCATTCTGAGAAGAGAGCACTTGCTCCTTATAGTTGAGTTGTCTCTTAGGCAAAGGCTAATTCTTGCTCCCTTCATCAAGGGAACTCATGATGCCACCAATTAGATGCAGAATCATGTTTTATAGCAGCCACTGAAATATAGATTATTTAGCCACTTGTCAGAGACCAGTAGTCTCTTAACGCCAGAAACAAGCTATGACGTGGTAAAACCTTTCTTTATGGAAAGATCTGGTGTGGGTGATCTTTCTGGATGAGCAGATCTGATGTGGTTTGGAGAAATTTCCAGGACTTTCCATCCATGGACACAGCATCAGGAGATATTATTAGTGTCATTGGCTCCCTCTTAGCACCTTGACTATGACCTGAAGAAGCCATACCACACTGTCTTATATTTATAGCCTAATGAACATTCAGGGGGTATTTTGAAACTTCTTAAAGTTGAAATAAAGACAAGAAGAAGATTCTTATCTCTTATTTTCAAACTGTACAATCAGTTCTAAGGTATACTGGTGAGGGTAGTAAGGGAAGGACAGAAGAAACTTGCCAATTAATAGAGCTGGTTTACTCTCTTCAGGAACAGAGAAGATATTAACCTAAGTAGGCAACAATAGGAGAATGGTTAAATAAAAAGTGGGATATTATACAAGCATTAAAAATACTTCCAAGGACACTTTCATGATGCAAGGAAATGCTCAGAATATAATGCTAAATGGCTGAAGAGGGTACCGATATTCTCAGCATCTTTTTAAAATGTGTTTATGTATATACATGTACTTAGATAAAGACAGTGGTTATCTCTGGGTGGTGGGATTACAATTTACTTTTATTCTCTATAATTTTTTGTGTTTGACTTTTCCACCAAAAGTGAGCATTTTATGTTCAGAAGGAAGAGGGTATTTTAGAGGAGATTGTTCTGGAGAGCCGCTTTCAGAGCCTCCCAGAAGAGGAAGACTTGAGCACCAAGCTTGGAAGGATATCTCTGGTGCCCTAGAAGAGAAGCACTGAGTCTGAGCAGGACTGAGAAGAAAGGAACATTAGAAAGGATTTATTTTCTGGACCAGCAGAAAAATAGCCTGCTAATAGAGAAAAATGTATCCCTTTTTTGGTGTATATATATAATTTTTTTTTCACTTTTCTAATACTTCATTTTCTTTGAAATCGATTAGCATTTTCCGTAGTGATACCGCCTTAGAAACCCAAGGAGGGGTCACTATGAGTTGGGTCCGACTCGACGACACATAACAACAACAATACTTCATTTTCTTTGAAATCTATTAGCATTTAATAAAATATAGCATAACTCATCTTTATTAACTATGCCCTTGGCACAACATAAAGTGAAAATGTTCATATAGGGCTGCTAATATTGAAGGATGAAATAGTTGATGATCTCCCTATATATATTTTCTATGCCTTCTTTCCAGGAATGACTAAAAAGACTTATGTGGAATCTATACTTGAGGGTATAAAACAGTCCAAACAAGAAAACATGGACATTGACGTTAGGTAAGAAACATTGTACTAACATTCTTTGTAGTTATTTAAAAAACTAGGATGTGAAATTTTACTGTTTGGATCACAGGTATAACAGATTTTTAGAAATCAAACCATAAGCAGTTTCTGTCTTTCAATAGAAAAAATTCAGTCAGGAGCCTTGTTGTTTATCTGAAGTTTACAGTGCAGTTCTGAATGTGTTTCTTCAACGTATAAATAACAAGAAAAGGGGAAGGATGGCTATAGATTGAAAGAGATTTAAGAGACACATTGATCCAGATAGGCCTTATCTGGATCTTGAATCAATCAAACAATAAAGGCAAAATAACAAAAATGAGACCATTGAAGATTTAAATATTGACTAGATATTTGATGCTACTTTAGGTATTTGTGTCTCATTCTTTTTGGCCAAGTAAAATTCATGTTATCTAGACTTCAGTCAGGCTATACATTCTCTAGAAAGATGTAATCCATGTAGTCTATCATGCCTCTTCATCTGTTTGTATTCTGTTGTGTTTTTTCTGCATTAAAGGTATTTGTTAGCAATCGACAGACGAGGTGGGCCTTTAGTAGCCAAGGAGACTGTTAAACTTGCTGAAGAATTCTTCCTTTCTACTGAGGAGACAGTCCTTGGCCTTGACCTCAGTGGAGACCCTACAGTAAATTATTTTTTCTAAATATATTTTATTTCTAAAAGGTAGAATCAGTGGGAAAAGCATTAGCTTGGAACATTCTGTATTCTGCAAAGGGTACAGCAGACTGTGTGAATGAAGCCCTGTTCTGCCCTGGATGACCAGAATGTCTAGAGCAGCTGTTCTTAGCCTGGTTTCTGAGAGAGAATTAAGCCCCCTTTTGGGAAAACCAAAAGAAATAGATTTACGTGACTGTTTTCTCCATTCTTCCAAAAGTAGTACATAGCTAGTACCATTGCACATGCACAAGAGAGAAGTTAATTCATTACATACAATGGATGTCTTAGGGCATTTAAAAAAAAAAAAAAAAAACTATTGCCATCAAGTCATTTCCAACTCATAGTGACCCTAAGGGACAAAGTAGAACTTCCCCTATAGTATTTCTAAGGCTGTCCATCTGTGGAAGCAGAATGCCAAATCTATCTTCCACAGAGCAATTGGTGGGTTAGAACTGCCGACTTTTTGGTTGGTAGCTGAGCACTTAACTACTGTGCCACCAGGGCTTCTTCTTAGGGCATATTAGGGCTGAATTATCTCATAGAATCCCCAGTTGAGAAGTGCGGGCCTAGAGCTTCAGAGTAAAGCTGAGTGTATCAAATGGGGCACTGTTGATATTTTGGGCCCGATAATTCTTTGTTGTGGGGGCTGACCTGTGCATTGTTTAGCAGCAGCCCTGGCCTTTACACACCAGATGCCAGAAGCACCCTCCCAGTTGTGACAACCAAATATATTTTCAGATAGTGCCAAATGTTCCCTGGGGTAGGGGGAGGGGAGAGGGCAAAATCACCCTGGTTGAAAACTGCTGGATTGGAGAGTGCCATGAAAATAATTCTTAATGACTTGTCTAAACCTGGCTATTCTGTTCTCATTTTCATTTATCCATTTGATAAAAACTTTCTTCAATAATCATGAGGGTTCCTGAAACTGGTACAATCTCCTCCTTACTCAAGTTGGAGCAGATGTCTGGGTGAAAGTGGGAGAATATGTAAAATCTCCACTTCTGAACCACTTCCCCACATTTCACTGCAACATAGATGGACTGGCTGTAGACAGGACTGGAAATCAGGACACTTGTGTTCTATCTCTGGCTGTTTCTTAATTTGTGGATTTTATCTCTCATTTCTGTAAATTTGGTTATGTAATTTTTCTGGGTCTTGTTTCTTAATAAAAACAACATAATAGGACTAGATATTTAGATTTCCTTTCAGAAATAAAATTTTATGACTGCCGTGACCTCTGGTGGCATAGAGCCTAAGGCATTTGACTGCTAACCAGAAGGTTGGTGGTTCAGACCCACCTGCCACTCTGCGGAAGGAAGACTAAGCAATCTGCTTCTGTAAAGATTTACTGCCTCGGACACCCAAAGGGGGTTGCTATGAGTTAGAATTGATTTGATGGCGGTGAGTTTGGTTTTTTGGTTTTATATCTGGCTTAGCTGAATGACTTACAGATACTTGACTTAAGGTTCCTGAGGGCAGGAGTTGTGCCAGCTTTGTATTCACCAAAGTGCCTAGAACATTGTAGGTACTTAATAACATTTTGGTAAATGTGTAAATGAATCAATCTGCCATTATTTTTTTCTGCCATTATGTTACTCTTTTGTTTATTGGGACAGAGTGCTCAGTTCCTTAGTTTGTTTCAAATTCTTGTGCATCCTCAATATAACTTCTGTCTTCAAGGCTGGACAAGCAAAAGACTTCTTGGAACCTCTTTTGGAAGCTAAAAAAGCAGGTCTGAAGTTGGCATTGCATCTTTCAGAGGTAAATAATATTGTCTTAGGTTTGAGAGGCCAAATTACAATGGAAAATAATAGTACCATTTTTAAATGAATAAAAATGCATCTGCCTTAAAGAAACATTTTTTTTTTTTTTTTTTTTTTGGAGATTTTTTTTTTTTATTAGGATTTGGGTGAAGATTTACAGAGTAAATTCACTTTTCATACTAAAGAAACATTTTTAAAAGAGGAAAGTAGATCTTTGATGTAAATTAAACTGATAAATGCATGATTTACTTTAGCCCATGTTATTTTTTATTTTATCTTTTTATGATAGCTGGGGGTGGCTGTTGACTCATAGTCCAGCTGTGAATAAAAAGAGCTTAATGAAATCTTGCTAGAGAAGATGCCTGAATTCCTATCAACAGCCTTGTCACTCGCAAGCTGACACTGAAAGAAGCACCAGTTCATCTCACATGTCCTTGTAGTGGAAGGGACCTGAATGCATCACATGCAGTGGCATAAAAAGAAGTTACTCAGTCACTCATCCTTGTCATTTTGTGGGTCTCAGCAGGGAGCCCCCATGCCACTCCTTGGCCCCCTGCTCCATGTAGCATGGGTACATAGACAGATGATGTACAGATAAAGTCTGGAGAGCAATCAATTTCTTAAGCACATGCTTGTGAGGCAAAAAAAAAAAAGGGGCTTTAGTCCAATTTTCCTCATTTGACAAATGGATTTACTTTCTATATAAGTTTTACCTCTTTGTTTACTTCACAGGGTTATTATGAGTATTAAGTGGGGTATTACATAAAGGTTGAATAAAACCATGATAAAAAGATAAAGTGGAACTTCTTGCCGGTACTTGGCTTTTCATGTCTGAAGGCAGAAAGGTTCGATTCAGGAACAATAATCTAGTGGCAAACAATTCTGGGATCCATGTTTCTACACCCTGGTCATGACAGACCTTTCACCCTCTAACTGACCTAACTGATGCCTGATTAAAGCCATTGATTGGTACAATGAACAGTGTGGTACTGTGACCTTGTACTTTTGTGTTCACCATCAAACTTGCTCATATTTTGAGAACTTTACCTTAGTTTCGGTTGTCTATCCTGCTGGACTTACATATGAATTTATGTGAAAAATGCAGAGAGTAGGTTTTTAAATAAGTAGTATTATTGTATCTAGAATTATTATTACTGTCATTGAAATGAATATGGAAAAATATTGGAGAATGAATGGGAAGAGAAAAGGTGAAGAAGAAAGCTGGGAAGGTATAAGCACATATGCTCAGAAGTAACTACTCAGAGTGACACAATACCTGGCTATAGAAAGACAGACTTAAAGAACCAAGAACCACTGAAAGAGGTCATTGATCCCCTCTTCTTTTTTTTTTTTTTTGAGATTCCAAACAAAAAAAAAGAAACACAAATGCTCTTGGATCTAATTCCTGACAGAATCGGGCATGGGACATTTCTTAACTCCTCTGAAGGAGGATCCCTGGAATTGGTAGACTTTGTGAGGCAACATCGGATACCACTGGGTAAGGCTTAGTTTTCTAGGTCTCCAGACAACCTCTGCCTCTCAGTCCCCTAGGGTGCAACCTATATGTAGAGAAGTACTATACTAGGAAAACAAATATCATTTAGAAAATAAAAGATGCATGGTGTATGTGCTTTCTGAGCCTCATTCAGGAAACAGAAAGCTTTAGTTTCCATTAAATTAGAAGCTCCATGAGGGAAGAGATCTTGTTTTTCTTGTCCTCTGCTGCAGTCCCCAGGGCCTAAGACAGTGGCTTACATTCAACAAACACTTGTTGAGGGAATAAGAATCATCTAGTATATTGAAGTAGCATTAATCTAATTATCATGCCATGAAAATAAACCAAAAAAAACCAAAAAACCCACTGCCATCAAGTTGATTCAACTCATACTGACCCTATAGGACAGAGTAGAACTGTGCCATACAGCTTCCGAGGCTGTAAATCTTTATGGAAGTGGACTCTTTTTTCTGCGGGGCAGCTGGTGGGTTCAAACTGCCAACCTTTTGGTTAGCAGGCAAATGCCTTAACCATTGTGCCATCAGAGCTCCTTTAAAATTAAGAATTATGGAAAATTCCATGTATATTTTTACACATCTGTTGATCATTACTTATTTGTCTACATTTATATACTCGAAGATGTTTTTATTTAACAACAAATATTTATAAAGAACTTATTCTGCTCCAGTCACTGTTTTAGTTTCTGGAAATAGAGCAGGAAATAAAACAGATGTTTTTTTCCCTCAAAGAATTTATATTCTATTGGACAGACAATATGCAAATGTATAAAAAAATAGTAAGTTCTATGAAGAAAATTAAATAGGTTGATATAATAGGATTGGATGACCATTTTAGATTGAATGGTGAAGGAAAGCCTTTCAGAAGAGGGAAAGTAGCAATTTGCTGAAAAACATTTTACTAACGAATCAATTTGCTGAATTTACAAATTTGCTAAAACACTCATATATACTGTGTTTTAACTATAGAATTTTCAGTTCATATTGGATGAGATCTTTTCTTTTACTAAAGAAATTTTCAGACATACAAAAGTAGAATTAAGTAGTAAATCCCCACATATGTAACATTAGCTTAAACAGTTATTAATATTTTGCTAATCTTTTCTCATTAATCCTACCCCATTTTTTTCCCTTCTTTTTTTGCTGAACGTTTTCAAACAAATCCCAGGCATTGTGTCATTTCACAAATGAGATGGTTTGATTTTAAAAGCTTTTGAAAATTCTATGAAGTTTCAGTTGACCAATATTCATTTTGTACTCATAGCAATATTATAAGCAATGTTTTCTCAAAAGCAAGAGTTTTAAACTTGATCTTCTTATAAATATATCTAGAAGTGTTTATTTTGTAATCAGATATGTCAGCATTATCTACAGGAATTTTTTAGTTTATACTGATTTCTTTAGAGACTTTTACCAACATTTTAGTATATTTAGAATTTTTTTTCACAAGTTTTTCAAGTAGCACATTAAACTTTTGTTTCCAGCAGTGGCAACCAATATTTAGTTACACGATGAGGCTGTAAACTGCAATCCCATAGGTTTCTCCCAGTTACTAGAATTTGGTAGATCTCTGAGATAGGATTCTTTGGATATTTCTGATTTCTTTTGGCTATTTTTCATTTCTTTTGGATGCTTTTTTTAAAAAAAAAAAATCTTGTGCTTTAGGTACATATTTACAGAGCATCTTTTGGATGCTTTGACTATCGCTTTATATTTTTTTCACATTTTACCTTTTTTCCCCCAGTTCTTCAAATGGTTATGTATCAGCTTTAATTTTGTATTTTTGGCAGTGAAAAATTTTAATTTCAACATTTTACCTTTAACAGGTTCTAGTAATTTTTTACATCCTTTAAATATCACTTATTTTCTAATTGTTGTTGTTGTTGTTAAGTGCCATCGAGTCATCTCTGACTTACAGCGACCCTGTGCACAGCAGAACGAAACACCGCCTGGGCCTATGCCAGCCCCATGATCCTTACTATACCTGAGCCCATTGTTGCAGCTACTGTGTCAAGCCATCTCGTTGAAGGCCTTCCCCTTTTTTGTTGTCTCTTCATTTTGCCAAGCATGACATCCTTCTCCAGGGAATGGTCCCTTCTGACAACATGACCAAAATATGTGAGATGAAGTCTCACCATTCTTACCTCCAGGGAGCATTCTGGCTGCACTTCTCCAGGACAGACTTGTTAGTTCTTTTAGCAGTCCACAGTACTTTCAGCATTCTTCGCCAACACCACAGCTCAAAAGCATCAATTCTTCGGTCTTCCTTATTCATTGTCTAGCTCTCACATGCATAAAAGGTGAGTGAAAATACTATGGCTTGTGTCAGGCATACCTTAGTCCTCAAGGAGACATCTTTGCTCTTCAGCACTTGAAAGAGATCCTTTGCAGCCGATTTGCCCAATGCTATACGTCGTCTCATGTCATGATTGCTGCTTCCATTGGCGTCATTTGTAGAACCAAGTAATGTGAAGTCTTTGACACTTTCAGTCTTTTTGCCATTTTTTGTAATGTTGCTTATAGGACTGGTTGTGAGGATTTTTGTTTTCTTTATACTGAGTTGTAATCCATACTGCAGACTGTATTCTTCAATCTTAATCAGTAAGTACTTCAAGTCATTCTCACTTTCAGCAAGCAAAGTTGTGTTGTCAGCATATCGCAGGTTGTTAATGATTCTTCCTCTAATCTTAATGCCATGTTCTTCATGTGGTCCAGCTTCTCGGATTATTTGCTCAGAATACAGATTGAAAAAGTATGGTGAAAGGACATGACCCTGACGCACTCCCTTCTTGATTTTAAACCACGTAGTATTCCCTTTTTCTGTTCGAATGACAGCCTCCTGGTCTATGTGCAGGTTTCTCATGAGTACAATTAAGTGTTCTAGAATTCCCATTCTTCTCAGTGTTATCCACAATTAGTTATGATCCACACAATCAAATGCTTTTGCATAGTCAATAAAACACAAGTAAACATCTTTCTGGTATTCTTTGCTTTGAGCCA